AAAAACAAAAAACAAAAAAAAACTTGTTTGAAAGGTTTAATATGGGTTTTTTGTTTGTTCTGCCTCTCTTCTATGTAAATTTCTTGCCCAGTTAATCAGCTATGTAGTTAGTAGAATGTAAATTGCATGAGAGCAGGACTGTTTTGTCAAACTGAGTCAAAAGGCACACGATGACAAAGTGCTGGTTTTTTTTAATCATACCCTTGACATTATTTGTCCATCCATAATACTTAGTTCTAAAACATTTCATTTTTTCAATGAATCCCCAAGTTGCAAAGTACCTCAGAAGCCATTAAGTTCAGCTTATACCTGGACAAGAATCCCCCCATCTCATACCTGGCAAGAGAATACCCAGCCATTTCTTGAACACCTCCTCCTCCTCAAGCAGCCCATTCTACTTTTGGATAGCTTTATTTATTAGAAGTCTGTTCCATTAGGCCAAAATCTCCATTTCTGTAACTTTTGGGCCATCCTTGCTCTTACTTCCCTCTGGTGGCAAGTAAAACAAATATAATCTATCTTCCAAGTGATAAGCCTTCAGATCCTCTCACAGGCCCTTAAATTTGTTCTTTAGGCTAAAGATCCCCCATTATTTCCCCTAATTCCCACATGGCATGATCTCAAGGTACTTTCCCATTCTGACTGCCATCTTCTGGAAGTTTTCTAGTTTATCAGTGAATGCCCTTCTTAATGGAATGCCTACAACAGAAATTAAACCCTTCAGATGTGGTCTGAACCAAGCAAAACTCAGCAATATGATAACCTCTCTAGTCATAGACACCATGCCTCTCTATGCAGCCTTAGATCTCATTAACTTAGGCTTTTTTATTAACTTTTGGCTGCCTTATCATAGGCTCACTGAGTTTGTAATCCACTGAAATTCTCAATCTTTTTCACACTAAATGCTAGCTGGACACATGCTTCCAATCTGTACCTGTGAATTTTTTTTTAACCTTCAAGTTTAAGAAAGTACAGTTACTCTCAATAAATTTCACCTTACTGGATGCAGCCCAATCATTTAGCCTGCCAAGATCTTTTTGGATCCTGGCTCATTCATCCCTGTTGGCAATCCTTCCTAGTTTTGTATCATCAGCAAATTTGGTAAGTGTGCTATCCATGCCATCAAGTTCCCTACTCTGTCACAAAGGAATGAAGCCAGGGGAAAGGGGGGGGGGGGGAAGTTTGCTTGCGGGTGAAGGCACTAAAAATTATGATAAGCAATTTTTTTTTTTACTTCAAGGTATATTCCTAAGATTCAGTCATATTTTATAATCTTGTTCAGAAATCACCAATGGTAATGACTAAAAAGACACTTCTAAGTATTACAGATAATTGTTCTTTATGTGTTCTTTATATAAAGTCTATGACCTAAGTCAGTCCCTCATTTTACAGATGAGAAAACTGAAGCAAAAAGAACCAAGCAATATTTGGGGGAGGGGGTCGGGACTCTGGGACATAAGCTTTAGCTGCTTAGGAGCCTACACACTAAAACATTCACTTATTTATACAAGAACCTCAAGGACTCTCACTCAAAGCCCACTGAACACTTAAAGACAATTAATTACAGTGTTGGTTATCTGATTTCTAGGCCCACAGTTCATGGCGAACTGCAAATTCTGAGGTGTGCGTGAAAGGATGGCCAGGAATTAACAGAGGTAGATAAACAAAATTCCATGAGCCATTAATAATGTTATAATGTCCCAAATGAGGGACATGATAATCTCACAGTACTCTTCCCTGGTCAGACCACATATGGAATACTATACTCAGATTTGAAGGCTACAGATAGAGGAAGGACATTGACGTACTAGAACACATCTAGATGATCATGACCTGATTATCAAGGATGACTCAAAGCCAAGTCAGGAAGAGGATCAGTTTAAGAAATGAGAGATGTCTAACCTATAAAATAAGACTTGGGGAAGATGTAATTACAGTCTTCAAATATTTGTCAAATTGCCATATGAATTCTGCCTGTTTTCTTGGATTAGAGTACTAGGTAGAAACTAGAGTGGTAAAGATTTTGTCTCAACATAACTTCATTCATAACCTAAAAATAAAATGGGCTATCTTAAGAAATATTAAGTTCTCCACCATTAGAAGTCTTTAAGAAGAGGCTAGATAGTCATTTGTCCAGGATGCTACATAACAGACTTAAAGTTAAACACTGAACTATCAGGGGTGGAGAACCTGCCTCAAGGTCACATGTGGCCCTCTAGGTCCTTGAGTGAGGCTTTTTGACTGAGTCCAAGTTTTAAGGAACAAATCCATTTATTAAGGGGATTTGTTCTGTGAAGTTTGGACTAAGTCAAAGGGCCACACTCGAGGACCTAGAAGGCCACATGTGTCCTCAAGGCACAAGTTCCCTGCCCCTAGATTATCCCTAAGGTCCTTCAACTTTAAGTTTCACTCATTCTATAAAACAAAAAGCAGCAAAGCATTTTTCTATACAATAAACAGAAAACTAGCCTCAGTCAAGAAGATCTGGGTTCAAATTCTGTCTCTGACAAATACTGTTTTTGTGACCCTGGGCAATTCACTTAATCTTTTAGTGCTTGAGAAAACTCTTTTAAGACAAATACCAGAACAGTTGCCAATGTACATTGGCAAAGGGAATTTTCTCACTGGCATTCTCTAACAAATGAAATCACAAGTTCAGACATTAAAAAAAATCTATATGATAGCTTACAGATTAATTGTTAGAGAAGAAACAGGAGAAATCATAAAAAGCAGACAACAAGAACTCAAAAAGCATAGCTGGGGGCAGCTAAGTGGCACAGTACATAGAGCACTGACCCTGAAGTCAGGAGGACCTGAGTTCAAATCTGGCCTCAGACCAAACACTTGACACTTACTAGCTGTGTGACCCTAGGCAAGTCACTTAACCCCAACTGCCTTAAAAAAAAAAAAAAAGCATAGCTATCCAGGGACATTTATTGTAGGGTCACATAGCCCCGCAAATCTCAATAAACCTTAAGAGCATCACTTCCTATAACACAATATATTGGTGATGAGTGTTCTGAAAGGAAAATCTGAAGCATTATTTAAAAAAAAGTCAAATTCTGTTCATTATACTCTTAGGAAGGGAAACAGTTCATCTGAGAGAGATTTGCAGCAAAAATAGTTAGTGGGAGAGTGTACTTTATTTAAGCAAATTTTTAAAAATCAGTTGGGATTCTAATAATTTTCAAGTACCTTTGAATCCTTCATTTTTTTTCTAATAAAGACCAAGATCATCAGAGTAGGATTATTTCTCCCTTACCTATGCCGTAACAAAAAACACAGATTCCACAGAGATGGTTACGTAACTTTCTGCAATAAGCATGTATTACCTTAAATTTCCTATAAGTCTAAAGATTTTCACTACCTGGAGATAACTGTGTCCATTTAAAATTTCAAAATCAAAACTACATTTTCAAATTCTTAAAATATGTTTAGTTCAATTTATCTCAGTTAAAAAAAAACAGTTGTAGTTAAGCATACAGTAACAACAAAATACACTCAATTTACATGCATCCACAAGTTAAACAAAAACTAATACATGGACATGTTATGACTTAAATGAATACTGTTATGGCAGTTAATACTATTCTTGGCTCCATTATTGTTTCAGTGTTCAAACATTAATAAATAATTAACATGAGAAATGAAGGCTCCATTTTTAATGGTAAGAAAATACCATGACAGACTCCAAGAATTAAAAAAGCTCATATGAAGACATGATCTTGGGAAGCCAAACTGAGAAACTACTTTGTACAAAGCACCATACTTAGAATTATGATTGTGAGTGACAAAAACCTTTGGTAAGGGTACAGGCATTTCATTTACTTTAACAATAGTTCATTATTTGAATTATCCAATTTAGTCTCAAATTAGGAATTTATTTACTTCACATTCTGAAATGATAAATTATGTCAAGAATGTTGCATTCAAGCTCTTACAGGAAAAAAAATTGATGTCAAGATCAGATTTTGTTAAGACTGCATTAATTTGAGAAGGGAAAAAAATACCACAAAGCCTTTTCTGGACAACAGTAGGCATTTTGAGATAATAAGTTTAAAAAATAAAATGCAAGCACCACACTGAAATATTTGTATGAAAATAGGTGGGACTGGTTATACACAACAGCGTCTAAAGTATTTAAAACATTTATTTAAATAAGTCTTCATTTAAAATAACACACCACAGTACTCATATATCAAACAGTCCAACATAATTTGGCATTGGCCTGGTAATTCCTGAATGGGCAAACAATATAAACCACAATTTTTGGAAAGGCCTCAAGTCCTATAATTCTGTACAAGGTAAATGACAGTGTCAAATTACTTCTGCATCATAAAAATTACACTTTCTCTATATTTCCCTATTTTTGCATCCTGTAACTTTTTTAGGTTACTGTTTCTGCTTCTTTTCCTCTCTTCACCTGTAATTAAAGAATGGCACTGAACATGTGAAAGTGGTTGAGAGAATTTATAACTAATTCTTTTATGTGACAGTTTAGCTCTTCATTTTTAAAATGGGCTGTTATAAGTAAACAAATGCCAACTGCAAAAATAGCTTTAACATATTATGGCTGTAAATATTACAGTCATTCTACAAGTTTTAAAAGCCAAAGCAGCAGCGTAACAACCTTGAATAGCCAAAATAAAATTCCTACCTGACAATTCTCCCCATAACATTTTTAAAACACCATACAAGGTAGGAAATTGGCTTAACTAATACCCATTTATAATTATGTAATTAATAGTACCTATTCTGAAAAGCTATAAAGATTGAGAAAATTAAATCTCATTCACAATTAAATTTCAATGAGATATAAAAGAACAGAAATGAGCAACTTCTATTCAGAACAACAGAAAAACACGACCTCAGACATAAGCCACTTAACCCCAATTGCCTCACCAAAAAAACAAAAAAAAACAAAAAAAAACAGAAAAACAAGGCAAAAAAAAAAGGTTCCTCATCAATTTTGACTATACAGTAAAAAAAAAAAAAAAAAAAAAAACCCACAAAGGCTAGTTTTGCCCACAAAATATTTTTTTTTCCAGAAAGCAAGTTCATCGATAAAAAAGACACACATGTTGACATCTCAAGTATTAGCATAATTTAGATATTTCAGCAATGGAAATCTTATGGATAAAGATGAAATTTTTGAAAAACCCTCTTCCTCAGCAGAGCACGAGAACCTTTCCAGTTCTGTTCAACTTCACTATTTGTACCACAAGCCTTCTTAGGTTCCAATTTCTTCTCTTAATTTTTTCTTGTCTATAGAATTCACGTATCCTTAATTTTCAACTCTCACATACAATTTCCATTTTTCTCTCCCTCTGTTCTCTTAACTATAAAAACAGAACACCATGCTTAATTTTGTGATAATTTCCCCCATAAAACATACCAAAAATTATTAGTTTTTCTTTTCTATGAACTCAAAACAGAACACAATTACTCAAAATTGGGAGTTTTAAGGTAAAAAAAAAGCAAAAAAAAATGAAGTAGAAAGTACATTTTATAATGTGGGGTATTTTCTGTAAGTGGGAAGATATGCTCATTAACTTCTGGCTCTTAAGACTCAAAAAGATCAAAGAAAATGAAAAAAAAAATATCCAGTAACACTTAAAACAAACAGCTCAATTCCACAATGACTGAATGAGTCAACAAGGAAAGAGAAGTACTGTGCACGAATGGAAATTCATTATCTCAAATCAGGCCCAAACTGATACTAGGGACAAGAACAATGATGGAATTAAAAACCTTTAGCAAAATGACCAATAGTTTTTGTATATGGGAAAAATTCAAAGCTGATTTGAAACAGCCATGAATAAGAGGATGTTTTCATGCAAGTATATGTAGTTAATAACAAAAGCAAATCCAATTCTATACAGTACATCAAAGACTTGGAATAACATAATAGCCTTGCTATATATAACATATGAAAAATAAAAGTGGAAAATAAAAATGTTGATTGCCACTACTGAAAAGGCATTTCAATAATTTATATGAAATTAAGAAGCCATTTTTTATAAAAAGATGTGCTAAGAACACCAAGTCACAATAAGTTAGTGTTTTAATAAAACATGCTTAATTGCTTGTTCCCATATCTATACATAGTTACTGTCTTAATTCCTAAATATTGTGACAGCATACTTAATAAGTGAGGTACATTATTTTACATCTTTCTAAAGAGATTCTAAAACAGTTAATTTTTTTCTTCCAGTTTTTTTTCTTCTTCTTCTCCTCTAAAGAACAACAAAGGAAACATTCCTAAAATGCAACCAATAGTCACTCCAACAGCTTTGCCCTAAGGAAACAAAGAAGAACAAAAAATAAAATATTTAGTATCACTTTTTTAAAAGTTACTTTATTCCTGAAAGAGATTTGCTTACTTCACTATCTATGTAATTAGAAAAGTAATTGAAATATATTATAAATTCAGGCTTAGTATTTCTTCTGATAGAAGCCACATTCTCTCTTCTGACAGTCTCATTTCTCCCTAAGTCCTCAGAGATGCTGTCGGGAGCCAAAAGCACTATTTCAGCTTAAGGGAGGTGATGCCCCTCCTCTGCCCCACAAAATACTGTGCTCAGAAATCCTGATCAAGTAAACATGGTATTTAATTTCGGTGACAAAACTCTAACAAACTGCTGAGTTTATCCCTAAATGTAAACATCAATGCATACTGGATAAGATTTTTCTTATTTTCACATTTGGTTCATTTCCTATCAACATATTATTGAATTAAGCTTATTACTTTATTCACTGAATTCCATTAAAATCTGTAATTTTTTAAAGTTAGTATATTACAATGACTACAACAATACAAATGGAAAGAAAATAAAAATAAAATTAAACAATGAATAGTTAGGATAACCAAGGTTGGTCCAGAACAAGAAAGAGAAAATGTACTTCCCTTCCTTCTTCACAGACAAGGGGGAATATGAGTGTTGAACACTGCATATATTATCAGACTTGGTTATACACACATACATATATAATGCACTTTGCTGACATATCTTTTCTCCTCCTCTACTCTTTGTTATAAGGAATATTTTGCTGGGTAAGGGATAGGGAGAAATATATTTAGGAATGAAAGTAATATAAAAACAAAAGATACCAACAAAAACTAAAAATGATTTAAAAATCAATATTTACTATTCTTTGAGGAAAATCTCAAAGATGAAAGAAATTAAGAACATAAAATCATTAATTTTCTTATTAGTTGAGTCAATTAGTGAGTTTTCCCCAAAAAAAGGTTTAAATACTGCTAAAAATCAAATCTGTCTTCTGGAATTGCTCACAGGATTCAATCACATTACAAATTACAATGTTATTACAATCTTACCAAGTGCTTACAAAAATGCTTACCAAGTGCGCACTAAGGCGTGTTTGCCACATATCAACTTGCTTGGGTGTGAGATCAGGAATTGACAGGCCTAACCTGGAAGCTAAAGCTTCAACATAGCCTGCAAGACTTAAAAACAAACAAATAAGTTAAGTGGCTATAATGTATTTTTATATAATGTATATAATGTAACTTTTTTTGATACAATGATTAATTTTCTGAGGCATAAAACCCTTCAATCTTTCTTCCAATCAAAAATAATAAAACTGAACAAGCATTTATTCAGCACCTGCTATATACCAATCCCTTCTTTCAAGGAGCTTATTATAGTCTATTGGAAGGAAACAGCACTTACTATACACTGAAAAAAATACAAAATATTTACAAAGGAATTAGGGAGGGGGAGGAAGAATACTATAAGCGAAAGGAATTTAGGTTATCAGCACTTTAGCTGAGCTTTAAAGAAATATCGATTCTATGAGGTAGAGGTGAGAAGAGAGTGTATATCAGAATTAGGTGGCCTAAGCAAAAGCAGGCAGATGATAGACAAAATGTGGATACAAAGAACAGCAAAGAGGCCAGTTTAGTTGTAATACAAAGTACATGAAGGAAAGTAATATCCAAAAGCCTTGAAAAAAAGTTTACAGCCACACTGTAAAGGGTTATCTCGAGGTAAGAGGGTGCCCCTGGAGGTTCCTGCACAGAGGACACATCTGGTCAGGCTTGCGCTTTAGAAATATCCAAACATCCTTTTGCAGCTGTGTGAAGGATAGATGGAAGAAGGGAAAGGCTGAAGAGAGGGAGACCAATTAGGTGGGTCATCGTACTAGGAGAGGAAAGAGATGATGAGGGCCTGAATGAGGGAGAAGGAAACATGTGGTAAGACAGACTCCACGATGACTCCACTACTGTGAGCCTGAACAATTAAAAGGAAGGTGGTACACTCAACAGACCTAGGCAAGTGAGAAAAAATTGGGAACGTTGGTGGTGTGAGTGAAGGAAGAGTCTAAGTTCTGTTTTCAACATGTTTCATTAGTTGGAAATATCTAATAGACAGGTAGAAGTAAAGGGCTGATGATTCAGGAAGGACTGAGAGTGGACATGTGGATCTGCAAAGTCTGGAAAGAGTTGACAACTAAACCCATAGGAGCTGATGAAACCCCCAAAAGAGAAGTATGGAGAAAGAAGAGAAGACCCAGGATAGAGTCCTGAGGCACACCTACGTACAGGGAATGAGACAATGATGGTCCTAACAAAGAACATTGAGAAAAAATAACAAGACAGGTGGGAACAGATCCAGAGGAGAGCAGTGTCAAGGAAATCCCGGGAGGAAAGAGTGTCTGGAAGGAGACAGTCAAGAAAGCCAAATCCTGCAGAGAGGTGGAGGATAAATGAGAACTAAAAAGGATCATCACTTCAAACAATTAATACATCACTGGTAAATGTGGAAAGAACAGTTTCATTTAAGTTTTCTCTTTACAGACAGAATACAAGTGCCTTGGGCGCAGGGAATGTAATTTCTCTCTTTGTATCCCTAATGTCTAGCTGACACATTTATGATGTCATAAATTTAGACATTGCCTCCAACCATACAGAGCAAAACCTATCCATTCCTGCCCATCCTGTGTTACTTCTGCCCACATTCTTCCATAAGTTTGCCAAAGGGAGTCAATCACATAAGCTGGCAATTTTCCTCACTTTCTCTTGACATTTTGATAGTAGGGTTAGTGCCTCAATAAACATTTATTAAAGTCCCTGCCTTCAGGGAGCTCACAATCTAATGGGGGAGACAACATGCAAATAACTATGTACAAACAAGCTAAATACAGTAGAGTTTGAGTATTCTGGATGTCCATCTATAATCGCTTGATTTCATCACATAACTAATCCACATTCTTGCAACATTTTTTAATGATGTTCATCAACATTCCTCATTGATTACGTGTTGTAGCCTAATCATCTCCACCACATTATCCTCTATTGCCCTCTTTGCAATATATTTTTGGAGACTGTTGTATTCCATTAGAACATAAACTCCTTGAGGACAAGGACTGCATGGTTCACTTTGGTCATTGTATCCTCAGCACTTAGCACAGTGCCTTAGTTCATAATAGATGCTTAATAAATATTTGTTGGTTGATTCTTTGTTTTGCTGCCTTAGAGCAATGTCTACAGAAGATTGACATTGAAAAGACAGGCCCTTATCTTCATGAGAAGCTTGAAGTCATTAAAAGATCTTTGCAATTTCACAAAAGTCTTGTTTATTGATTATGAAAAAGCATAGGGTTAGGTAGAACAAAACACTACAGTATATACTGTCTTACAAGGTTTCTCCCATCCACACATCAAAATTGTTCAAGAACCCTTAAAAGAGATAATCCTGATCAACCACCCTTAGAGTGTAAGCTCCTTTCAAGTAGGTATTGTTTCATATCTTGTGTCTGACACACAGTAGGTGCTTGATAAATGATTGTTGCTTAATTCATTGATCAGGTAAGACATATGAACAGAGATGCATCCTTGCCAAAGGTGTCTGACATTGTGACAGACAAGATCTAGTGCAAAGTATAGAGTGAAGAAAAAGTACCGAGTGGAGAGGTCAGGATGTTTATGGATGGCATTGTACTTTTCATGGCAAACACCAAAGTGTTGACAATCTCTTGGAAAAGTCTTGTCAGCATTCAAAAGTGGTGAGTCTGACCATCCACAAGGAAAGATCAAGTAGATGAAAGATGTCTATTTCCTGGTTTGATAACTAATTGAGCAATAAGGCCAAAAAAACTGCAAGGAACCAAGAATTGATTTTAAAATGTTTTAAAACTATTTAAACGTCATTTTAAAATGAGCACAAACAGTTTTTTTAAGAGTTTGGCTGTGAAAGAAAAGAGAAAGGATGGTAGTTAGGGGAAGGTAGGGTCAATTAAAGGTTTTTTAGGGATTCAGGAGATCCAGGCACATTTTTAAACATTTGAGTAGTCAGCCGACTAGGAAGAGAGAGGGTTATGAAAGGTGCAAGTTCCCCAAGAAAATAGAAGGAGATGAGATGAAAGTAATTTTACAATTTTAAGGCACACTTTTTTTAAATGGCCTTGAAGTACTGGCTACAACTTTGAAATTATACCTTGTAAATTTTTTTAATCTTGCAAAAACAACAGAATTAATTTATATGAGCAACTCTCTACTACCTTAGCAAAATTTCATTAATTCCAAAAATATTTTAAACAGGTTTTGCAGTGTTTTATGTTTAAAATATATGACAATTAATGATATAAAGCCTTCACCACTTGGCATATGGAAGGCATTAAGAATACATAAAAGAACATTCAAAGAAAACTGAAGCCCTCATGATTTGAGAATGCCTAACAGAATCAGAAAAGAAAACCAAAGATTCTGAAATGTAAAAGATATCAAATCCATGCCATGCTGCATTCTAATTCAGAGATGATTTTATAAATGTAAAAGAGAATTAAATACTACTAGATTATAAGATCCATGCAGGGAGAGATCACTTCTTACGTAAGCTTTGTTTCTCCTCCAGCACCTAAATGCAGTGGTCGGCACATAATGGCATTTAATAAAAGATGAGTGATTTGAATTATTTCAAAAAATTCTCTCTTGGTTTGGCTGACTTTACTCAACACATCCAAAAGCATCAACAGTGGGGACAGAGTAAGTCAGAATCACCTACCATATCATTACAGAATGTGACAACTTAGATGACCCTCAGTCCAACCTAGCAGAGTGCAGAGCAAGAGGGACTGGGCTTATTTATCACCTGTAAGACCTTGTACAAGTCACTTATGATGGGCGATGGCCTCTAAGGTCTCATCTAGTTTTTACTCCTTGAAGAGCTAGTCTGCAAATGCCTCTTTGCCAGCAGCTCATCTAAGATTTACAGGGAATGACAAAATGACTTTTCTAATTTTGCCCTGACATTTATTAGCTATACAACTATAGGCAAGTCTCTTAACCCCCTAAAACCTCAATGGCCTCATCTACCATGCCTGCACCTCACATGGAGGCTGTGAGGAGAATGTAAATAAAGTGCCTTGCAAACCTTAAAGTATTAAGTGAATGACAGCTACATTATTATGTTATGTTATAAAGTTTTCTGATCATCATAAAGCCTTAGTTCTGAAAATCTCAGTTAAAAATAAAATGTACATTCTTGCAAATGTTTCAAGTTTTAAAAACACAAAACTTACCCAAGTCCAGCTAAATCTGAAACAAGATTTCCCAAAGCAGCAGCTAAAGGATTAGAAAAAATTATTTGAAAAGTAAAATTAGAAAAATGCTTACCAAAAAATCATAATTCAGAGACTCTAACATTAACATATTTCCCAAACTATGTGAACTTATGACCACAGAATAACTGACCAAGATAGAAATAGCACCCCCAAATTAAAAAGCAAAAACAATTTCACAGAGGACATATTGTTCTACCTCCAACAATTAGCATTTTTTTTTTAATTCTAGCAACTGATGTCAACTCGTAGGGAGGTGCCAGTGGACATCCTAGGGAAAATTTCCTTGATCATGTGCTATATAACATGTGTCTAAAACTCCAATAAAGACAAAGAAGATATACTTGTCAAATCTGCAGATGACAAGAAGCTGGGAGGCAGAACTAACAGGATCCAAAAATATTATAGGCTAGAATGATTGGGCAAAACTAACTAAGAAGAAATGGAATAGGGATAAATACGAAATTCTATACTTGGGTTAAAAAAAATAAAACTTAAAGGATTTAGGAGGGAGAGATAGGCAGCTGTTGGTCTAAAAAAGATAGGGGATACAGGGATGGTACCAGAGCACAAGTTCAAGGAGTCAACAGTGCGTGACAAGGCAGCCAAAAAGCATCAATCAGCTTTTTGAATACCATGCAAATGTGCCTTCAGAGGCATAGTATATTTGTTTAAATCACTTAACATCTGAGTGTCAATCTCATCTGAAAAAAAAAGGATAATGATAATTGCAGTATTTACCTAATAAGTATATTATACCATCGCGTTTGATCATCACATGTAAAGCACTTTGCAAACCTTAAATCACTACACAGAGGCAACATGATGCAGTGAATTGAGGGCTGGACTTGGAGTCAGTAAGATCTAAGTTCAAATCTCCCGTGACCCACTTACTAGTTTATATGGCCCTGGGCATGTTACTCAGACTCCCTCAGTTTCTCATCTGTTAAGTAAGAAGTTGAACTAGATGACCCTAAAGTCCCTTCAAATTCGAAATCTATAATCCTATGATCCCAGAATGAGGGAGTTGGCAGTTCTGTCCCACTCTCCACTGGTCAGTCCATTTGTGCAGTATTGTTTATTTCTGGGTGCCATATTTTAGGAAGGATACTGTAAGGTGGAACAAGAACTGGAGATCATGTCATGCAAGTGTCAGCTGAAGAAACTAGGGACATTGAGCCTGAAGAAGAGAAAAATTGTATACACCATGATAGCTGTCTTTAAGTATAAGACCAGTTACATGTAAAAGAGATTAGACTTGTTTTGCCTGGCCCCAGAAGGTAAAAGTAGGAGCAATGGATAGAAGTAACAGAAAAGCAGGTTGAGCTTTGCTGTTGGTTAAAAAAAAACAAAAAAAAAAACAAAAAAAACAACTTCCTAGGCACAGCCATACAAAAGTGGGAAGGATAAGCTCAAGAGGTTTCTCTTTCCCCGTATTGTATTTCTGCTTATGCAAGGTGAAGGAACAGAGAGAGTTGAAAATGACTCAGGTTTTGACCCTAAATTACTGGAAGGGTGGTGGTGGTATACAAAGGATCCTAATTGTAGAACGGGAAGGGATCTCAGAAACCATCTAGTGCAACCTCCTCATTATACAGGTAAGCAAACTGAGGCCCAAGGAAGGTTACTACTCAACCAATGTCACCAAAAAGCAAACATCAGAGGGAGGATTTGAACCCAGATCTTCTGACTCCAGAGGCAAAGCTTCTTTTATTGTACTATAGTGCAAAATTTAAATCTCCAGTGATTCCCTATTAATAACTTAATAGATGCATCTCATAGTACACGGTATGAACCCCTCCACTATACCAATCACATTCTCCCCCACGTCAAAATTATTTATATATGTGTTTCTTCCTCAGTTAGATTTTAAGTAACTCAAGAAAAGTGTACATATTTCTATTTGTATCCCAGACCTAAGTCTTTGAGAGGCTGGAGAGCTCCATGCCAGCTATGTTAGAGAGCATTCTTAGAGAAGCACATGTCTAGACTGCCTCTGAGGTAGATGCCTTCCATATCTGAAATTGTACAGCTTTGTCCTTGGCCCTTCTTCCCTCTCACTTCTCTCTCATTTGGTGACCTCATTTACTCCCATGGCTTCAACATATTACCTCTATGGAAACGACTCTCAAATTTAAATTCTTTTACCTTCAATCTCTGTCTAGAGTTCCGGTGCTATACTTCTAATTGTCTTCTAGATATGCTATAACATGGCAAGTCCATAATGTTCAAAACTGAACTCCATCTCTCCCCAAATTCTTCTCCCTACTCAACTTTTCAATTCCAGTCAATATTACCATAGTAAAGTGAGAAAGGGACCAACTCGGAAATCTGAGGATACAGGTTCAAATCTTGCCTCCGACATACTATTATCGGTCTGACTTTGCGAAAGTCATTTAACCTCCCTGCGACTCAGTTTCCTCATGTGTAAATGAGGAAATTGGACTAAATGGCCTGTGAGGTTGTTTCCCATTCCAGATCTATGATCCTATGTATATCACTACTGTTCCAATCATCCAGATCTTTCCCATTCCACATCTATGATCCTATGTACATCACTACTCTTCCAATCATCCAAGACCAAAACCTCAGGCATTTCCAATTCTTCCTTCTCCTTCGCCCCATATAACCAGTCAATTGTCATGTCCTGTCAAATCTTTTTATTATCTTCCTCCTCTATCCCTTTCTTTCCATCATCACTGCAATCATCCTAATTCAAGTCTTCATCCCTTACTGCCTACTCAGTAGACTATTAAATAATTTTTCTAGTTCCAGTCTACCCTTTATCCAATTTACTCCTTCATACCACTTTCAAAGTAATCTTCTTAGTGGACCATTCCAGTCATTCCTCTAATCAAAGACCTTCAATGGCTCTCTATTACTTACTGAATAAAATCTTCTCATAATACACTGAACCTCTTCTCTATCCTGATCATATTCTCTCAAATCAAAATTTGTATGTTTTTTTCCATAAATTGGATTTTAATGACTTTAAGAATAGTGTCTGTGTTGTATTTGTTTTTGTATCTCAATCACCTAGCAGAGTATCTTGTACTTTTTTCGAGGTCCAGATTTGTATAGAAAAGTTCTAGAAACTCCACTAATGAAGACTTGCAACCTAGTCATAACATATTCTTCAAGAGTTTTTTCCTAGGGCACTGAAAATTTTAATGACTTTCCCATGGTTACACAGCCAGTATGTATCAGAGACAAGATTTAAACCCATTCTTCCACACTGTAAGGCTGGTTTCATGCACAGTAGAAACTGATTTTGTTGAACTGAATTTAATTTGTTGAACTGAATTTTCATCATCTGCCTTCAATGTAAAAAACATAGCAACCATAAATCTCACCATCAAAAATGGAAAGGTTGTGTTAAGGGAAGAAAATCATATCTTACGGTACTTTTTCTCTTTTGCCTCTCTAATTTTCTACCTAATTGCAAATTAAGTGTGATATAGCAGAAAGACTATAGACATGTAGTCAGAAGACTTCAGTTTAAATCATAGTTCTACCACTTATATATTTTTATTCAGTAAGTAATAGAGAGCCATTGACGGTACAATCTATGCAAGTCAAAGGGAATGCTCAATGGGAGTAAATATATTGCCCAGGAGCAAAATATAACAAAATGTTTTGAGCTCCTCAGAAAGGTGCTACATAAATACAAAATGGGAGACAATAAATAATTTCTATTTTAAAAGACACTTCAAAGGCAAAATCTATTAGAACAAATTATCTTCCTCAATAAGAATTTTGGGGGAAAAAACTTTTAGCGCATAAACAGTAATAGAAAGATCTTTTATTTATATTACTTGCCTGCCATAGTTGAAATCCCCAAAATAATTCCAATAGACAACTCTATTTGGGTTCCCTAAAAATGAAAAATAGGAAAGACATTTTTAATATTTTAAAATGAAGTTTAAAAATAAAACATAGAAAACTACAAAACTTTATACTGAAATAGATATACTGATTATCTTCTTATTCCAGTATTACATATTATACCATAATAACATCAAAAAATTCTTATATCAGAGATTTCTAACATACAGTTTCATATTACATAAAGTATATAGCAGAGGTAACCTTAGAAGATATTTTAAAGTTAGGTTTTGTTTTTTGTGGAGGGAAAAAAGGAATATACATTACTATAGATATTGAACAAAATCAAGCATATTTTACAGAGAAAGACATTTTAGAAGATGCTTGAACTAAGAGAATACTTGCTCATATATAATTTTAATACTGAATGGTGACCTTTTTATTAATTTACTTTCTACTAAAAGACTAAAAAAGAAGACATTCATTTCCTAGGGACCCCTAGAATTAGAGGGCCCTCCAAATTATTCTTTAATATTAATACTTTTAATAATTCATTTATAAAGCTTCATACAATTTGAGTTTAGATGACTCATTTACAAAGAGAATTAGCAGTATTTGGGCCAATAAATCTATTGCATAAGACAAAGTCCCTTTTTATTTCTATAACACATTTAATCTAAGGAATTCAAAAGTATTATATAGACTTTTCATTACTCCCCTGAGAAAGAAATTAGATATTACTACCTCCATTTTAGAGATGAGGGAACTGGGGCAATAATATATTAAATTATTCAATTGGAATTGATTATGTAGAACTGGGAAGTAAATCCCAGGTTTTCATTTTCCAATCTAATCACTCTGCTACACTTCAGTCAAGATGACTGACCTCTCAAGTCTTTTACACTCTTGTCTGAGAACGTATAGAAGATTTGGAAACCTCTAATCGTGTTTCTGAGAAATATTACACTCTTTGATATAAGGGAATATGGAGTTACCTGTCAGGAATTTTTCACACAGTTGAAAGATGAAGATTTAAATTATCTTAAAGTTTGTTTTGTTTCATTTTTTCCTATGGGACGTCTTTGTTTTACCACTATAATATCTAATACTTGCTATATATGTGCCCCAAACAAGCTGATGTGTAAAAAGCCTACCAGGTACTTTTAATTACAAAGTGGTAACCAAAGTGAATTTTCAAAGAAATAAATTCAGAAAAGAAAAAAGGAAAATACAAGCAAAACAAAATGAATGATGCTAAGTATTTTAATCTGCTAGAAATGAAAAGTAACTTGGGTACTAATATAAAAGCGAAATAACTAGCAGCTTCAGCAATATAAAAAATATTTATTGCTTCTTTTGAGAGGAATGAAAGGGCAGGTATAACAGTGAAGTCGGAGGCGAAAATGTAAATAAAAATTATTTTTCAAGTAGCTGCTAACTCAGTTTCACATAAGAGACTTATTTGTCTTCTAAATAGCAAAAAATAGAGGTGGAAAATTCCCAGATAAAGCAAAAGACAGTTTTGGGGACAATTTAAATATAGCTGCTAGATCACTGTTTAAACCCAACTTAAATTATATTCAAGTATTTCAAAGTTTTGCTAATATCCATTGTAACAAAATTGGATGAAATATGATGCAATACTAAGTATATATAAAAATGATGTAAGAAAGAGACTGTCTCTGTATGAGCCAAAGCTTTACACCATACAGGTCAGATCCTAGTTCAGTGACATTTGCAGACTTCTGACTAGGAATTCTGCCATGAACATTGCTGGGGAAGCAAATGGTAAGGAATTTAACCCAGGCAGTTAAGGGACCTCAAGTGCCCAGTGAAACAGGGGAGGAGAAAATTAAGAATCCTGTAAATTCTTTTATTTCTATAACACATTTAATCCAAGGAATTGACATTCAATGCACAGCAGCACTACAAGGTAACAGTAAGATAAAACAAGACCACCTCATTTTTGTTTATTGCTGCAAGAATTCCCCAATAATGGCTTTTCTTTTTTGGTCTGAGGAGAAACTATGCAGGATGTTCTGTATTAGTTTTAGCTGTTACTATTTAGGAGATGAATCTTCTTTCAAGTTAGTTACTTTCTAAATGTCCTCCTTGTACTATGCAAAATAATAAGGTGTTTCTTTACTTTTTCACTATGGTATTATGTAATAAAAACTGGAGACTAATATCACAGTATTAAATATGTAAACATAATTCAATCAATGAAGCACTATTACTATAGGGAATCTGTCTGGGGCTTATAAATTCAGTCAATTCTCATATTTATAGAAACAATGTAATAGATAATCTGAAATGTTAAATAATCCCAAAAAATTTATCTTTGGCTTCAGAGTATGTTTTTTAATAAACATTTACGCTGACAAATAAGATGATCAGGAAATTTACTTAAAATAAAATAATGGGGGCAGCTAGGTGGCATAGTGGATAGAGCACTGGCCCTGGAGGCAGGAGGACCTGAGTTCAAGTCCGGCTTCAGACACATGATACTCGCTACCTGTACGACCCTGAGCAAGTCACTTAATCTCGACTGCCTCACCAAAAAAATAAAAAGAAAGTGCTTCAAATAAAATAATGAAGCCATAATGTGATTTGCCACAAAAGCATAAATCCTTATGATCTGCCATATATATGTGCATATTAAGTTAATTTTGTAATCAACTATTCACCATGGATATATTTATTATAATTATATATGATCTATTAACTATTTCAATATTATAGTGTACTAACTACATAATATAACAAGCTATACTCAGACACATAAAAGCAATCAACACTACATAGTAAATTCTGTTCTAATATATAAATGTAAGCAGCTAAATATCAAATAGGCATTATTTTCAAATGACTAGACTTTTTAAAATTATGTTTTAGGGATCAAATCCATTGCTACACCTCATGTATCCTATTGCAATCTTCTAGGGTCTCCAGTTTGTCTAGATTTTTTTCTGGTAAACTCTCAATTTCTTCCTTGGATTACTATTAACAATGAGAAGTCACAATTATGAAACATATTAATCTCTTTAGATAAGGAGGATTGAAAGTACAAAACACTACAGCTAAACTGTATTAATACTAGCAATACTATTTAATATGTTTAATTATACCTTAGGGAACTGAAAGATTTAATTCACTCCCTTCTTCCTCTCTCAAAAGTAAAGAAGATATTTTCTTTTCTTTTTTTAATTTTCTTTAATTTCTTTTAATTCTCTACTACTACGTTCATTTCTGTTCATTTTTTTTTAACAAATGCTAATCAATCCCCAAACTACAACTTCTTCCTCCTATTAACTTTCAGAGATAGTTTTTTATGGTAGAAAGAATGCTAACTGAAGCACTGGAGAGACCAGGGCTCAAATACTACCTCTGGTACTTACTAGCTGTATGACTATGGGTTAAGCCACTTAATTTCCTTGAATCTCCAGTTCCTCATCTGTAAAATGGGGATAATATTTGTAGTACCTCAAGAGTTGTTACGAAAGTCAAATGAGGTCAAGTAAGGTCATGTAAAATGCTTTAAGGGAAAATGTACAAATTTTTAAAATACAAACCTGTTTTGTAAACTAAGAATTATCTGTATATATCTCTAAAGAACATCAGAAAATATGTATATTTATGCATATATATGCAAATGTATGTACATATGTGCACAGTATATACATATACACATTTGTAGTTTTTTCTATTCAAAATAAGTTTGAATCACAAAAGAAGCAATTGAAAATATAAACCTAATCAATCCAAATTGATGATATAATCAATGCTGCACATTACATTGTGAAATGTTTCCTCTGAATCATTTCTTAAAATTTAACTAAGGTAAACAGTTTTTAAGAAATATAATAAGCAAAATAATATATTTTCAATACATAAATTAAAACTTCATAAATGAATGAACAAGAAAATGTTTAAGATCATATTAATTCCTTTACTAAATAAGAAGTGGGGGGGAAAAAAAGGAACTTACTGCAACAATCATAATTGCATTATCCAAAAAGCCAAACCCTACGAAAGGTAATGCATTGTGGATGAATACTGAAAAACATCAAAAAAACAGAAAAGCAATAAATACCTTATATAGTTTAAGGCTGCCACAACTTTAGCACAAAAAAAGGAAAAAAAAAAAAAAGAAAAACATATGGTCAAGTCTTCCAAAAGTCTTTGAAACTCATGGAGTTTATGTTTAATACAATATTTCTGTCATTTCCAGAATGAAACAGTAGTTAATAAATATTTATAGTCATGGTGCCTAACAGGCACAAACAATACTAAAGCTCCAAACTCTTCTAAACATTGTATATATATAATATGTAAAAAAGATTTGTTTACTATGATTGTGTGTTTTATACTGATAGAAACATAACAGGTACACACTTATAGAAGAAATAAAAATAACAAATAGATAAATAACTTTTCCATGTTTGACCTGGTCACAATGCTACTAGGAGTAACCTGTTTCTCTCATACATAAAGATATAATTAAACTTATTTCAAAATTAGGAAAAAAATGTAAGCTTTAGTAATGAATGATAACCCACGAAATCAGTAAACCCAAGTAAAATGATTCTGATAAACAAAGGACAGTATTCAAAATATCAAGAGAAACTGGTAACTTCACACAAGTCATAAACATTGACCTTCCAAATATGTAATTTTTCTCTCAACTTATTATCAATACCCAGAAACTTAGTTCATGTAACTATAGCAACTACTATTGTATTTAAAGGGAAAGCAATAGGATCCCTACCCAAAGGTAGCAACTATCCAGATGTCACCTTAATCTGAAGCTGGTTTTGAGGCCTATCCAGTGTAAACAAATACCCACATAGAGGTTGATCACAAAATCACTCAAGAAGTGGCCTCAGAAGTTATCTATTCTAAATCCCTTCATTTTACAATTGAGGAAACTGAGGTATAGGGAAATGAGGTGACTTGTCTGAGATCACATAGCTAATAAGTGTCAGGAATAGAATTTTAAATATCTGATAGTGTGCTTTGTCTACTGTGCCATACCTATCTTTCTAATATTCTACAGAAGTTTGTACTATTCAATTTACAAAAATAATAACAGCAGTTATATTGGGGCTCTCTGATCAATAAAGTGGAAAAAACCCCTCTAAATTCACAATGTCTTAATTTGTTGTTTTTCCTAAAGATTAACATCAAGGGAAAACTGTCAACAGTACCCCACTGAAACAAATTTTACATGATAGCATATGACAAGGAGCAGTTAGTATATGGGTTCAACTAATGACATTTCATAAAATTACTGTAAAAACCCTTACCTTACAAAGCAAAGCCAAAAGATAGCCAAAGGAGTTATGTGGTATGTTTTAATGCTCTTAGGACTCTTGTTAACTCCTGTTAACTCAAGTTTAACAGAATCCTATATGTCAGCTCTCACTGTGGTAAGCTTTGTAGCAAAAAAAGAAAATCTTTTTTGGCTAAACGCAAATGGTAAAAAGAACTTCTTACTCACGGCCACTACCAAGGATTTTAAGGACGAGGAAAAAAACAGTGAATCATAACCTAACTATAATTTCTTTTCATGTTCTACTTCTCATGATCTGCTTATGGTAGAAATGACAGGAAAATATACCTTAGTTAAGCAGTATGTTTAGTTATACTAAAAGCTGACAGAGATGATAAAAATTTAATAAACAACATAGCAAACTTCAAAGCAGTAGAAGAGACTCTTTCAATTACAGAACTATAAATTAACCCAGCTTTGATCCATTAATCATTCATCTTCCTTAACTAGACTCAATATTTCAGTATTAACATTTTAAGGAATCCATGTTATAAATGGGAATACTCAAAATCACTGAATTCAAAGCTAGAAGAAAACTCAGAGCCCATCTAGTCCAAATTATTATCGAAAAAAAGAGAAGACATCCTACAACACATCAGAAAAGTGGTCAGGAGACCTCTGTCCGAAATCTCCAACAAGAAGGAAGCCATTTCCTAAGAAGGCGGCCTATTCCACTTTGAGGCCAACTCTAATTCTTAGAAGTTTTTCTTTATTTCAAATCTAAGTTTGTTACTATGAAACTTAAGCCCATTGTTCCTATTTCTATAGTTTCTTCAACTGAACCTTTTTGGAGACAGGAGGAAGAGTTGAGAGGAGCAGAGAAGAAGTATAGAGTCGGGCTAGAAATGAGTGACAGGTTTGGAAAGGAGGACAGAAAAAGAGACTGACAGATGAACTTAAGAACTTTATAAGAACTACAATTCTTATAAAAAGAACAAAATAAATTAGTTTAGTTATTGACAATTAAACACCAATACACTATACTAACTATATCAGCAGTACCAAAGCAAGTACTAAAATCCCCAAACGTTTCATGAAAAAGATCTCGTTATATGGAGAGATGAGGCCCACATGAGGTAACTATGAAATTTATGGATAGGTGAAACTGCTTTACATAGGATATTTTATAATTTGTGCTTTAATCTGAATCTCCAAGATAGAGTTATAATAGTTACATATACATATCTTAACATTTAATGAAAATATTTTTTGGTATAAAGGATGTCTCTCTGGGAGAGGGGAGAAGGGTAGACAGGAAAAAAAAATTAAGATAATATTAAAAAAGATATCAATAAAAATCTATTTTTTAAATGTTTAAGAAAGGATCAGTAAGTTAAGATTTATTTTAAAATGGAATCAGAATTACCCTCCACCTAAAAATAGTTATCAAGAAAAAGCAAAATAGCATAGGGTGGCTTTGAAATCTTAACTGTACAATATCTTTATATTTACTAATCAAGGTAGTTGTCCTTTAATAGAAGTTTAAGTTTTATTAATAATGCAAAATAAGATAAAATACAAAATGTTTGGGGAAAGTACTTCCTTACTACCTGCAAAAAGAAGGTAGTTACTCATTTTGGTAAACAATACTTTATGGAAGAACAGGAAAGAGAGATAAGGAAAGGGGAAAAAAGAATTAGAATCGCCATTATCATATCTTACTCATTTCAATTGTCATTTATTGAGCATCTATTATGTGTTAAAACAGAATTAGATGCTAAAGGAAAAAAAAATCCTGCCTTCAAACTTGAAGGGAAGGGAAGGGAAGGGTGTGAAGACAACTTGTATACCATTAAGTACATACAAAATACAGAAAAGAGTATATACAAAGTAAACTGGGAAGGGGGGAGCAGAGAGCACTAGCTCCTGGGGTGGGGGGAGGGAATCAAAAAAAGCCTTTGATAGAAAGGAATCTCTCTCCTGGTTCTCCTGCTACCTGTCCCACTGAAGGGGGGGTTTTGGGGTGCTCTTAGATGCACAGAGGCACCCCAAGATCGTAGAAAAAAGCCCAAATCACGGCGCGGATCTGCCTGAATGAATTCAACTCAGATCTTCTTGCAGCCAGAGAAAGTTTATTAAAGATAAGCACATAGGCCAGACTCCAAAGGAACCCCAAACATCAGTGATCTAAATGGGGTTCAAGGTGGTCAGGTGATGCTCACAAGAAAGAGCAGCATGAGGCAGTCTAGAAAACTCAGAGTATGAGTGGGGGCTGGGCCTAGGGTGGTCAGGTCAGGTGACGCCCATCAGGGCGGGCATGAGGGGTCTCAGCTTCTAAGCTTGAGAACAGCTCAGCATCAGAATGGGGGAAAGGTGAGCCTTAAGTACAGACTGAGGGAGGAGCCATCCAGTTTGGAGTGACGGGAGGAGGGGTCCAAGGAGTGGCCAAGCAGTTTGGGGTGAGGGGAGGAGGGGTCTAGGGAGATCTGGATGGGGGTGGCCAGCAAGCTGCGGCAAAAGGAACACTGGCGCCTAGCTAGGATTAAGGGTGGGAATGGCCAGGAAGGCAAAACAATGGGAAAGCCAGTTGATGGGGGAGGTGGACCCTTTGGAAAAGGGTCCAGGTGAGAATTTCCATTTGGAATGTCTGAGTGATTTGAACAGACAATGAGAATAGATAATGAAGGGAGCTGGAAGGGGAAGTTTGCTTTCAAAGGGCAGTTTCTAAAACTTTAAGGGTTTCCTGGGACTGGTAAACAAAACTGAAACCAGGTTCCTTTCGTCAAAGAGATAAGTGAGTCTACAAGCAATCTAAAAGTTTTAAGATTTTTCTGGGAATTGTGGGTAAACCTCTTCACCACTGCTCCTTCTCAATTTCCTTTGCTGGGTCATCATCCAAACAACATTATCTCACTATAGTTGTCCCCCTATCCCCAGGTTCCATCTTGAACCCTCTTCTCTTCTCCCTCTATGCTACTTTACTTGGTGATCTCATCATCTCCCATGAATTTAATTACCATCTCTATGCTGACGATTCTCAAATCTACCCCTCTTGCCCCAAACTTTCTACTGACCTCCAATCTCCTATCTCCAACGCCTTTCAGAAATCTCAAACTTCATGTCCAATAGACATCTTAAATTCAACATGTCCAACTGAACTCCTTATCATTCCCCCCTAAACCCTCTCTACTTCTAAATGTTCCTATTACTTGTCAGGAGTACCACAATCCTCCCAGACTCTCAGCTTACAATGTAGAGGACATCCTCAACTCCTCACTATTTCTCACCCAGCCCCAATCCAATCTGTTGCCAAGGCCTGTTGAAATCACCTTTGCTACATTTCTCTCCTCTGACGCTGGTGCAGGCCTTCATCACCTCATACTTGGACTATAATACCACATAGCCTACCAGTGTGTATACCTGCCACAAGTCTCTCCCCACTCCAACCCATCCTTCATTCAGCTACCAAAGTAATTTTCCTAAAGTGCAGGTCCAGCCACATCATCCTCCTAATAAACTCCAGTGGCTCCTAAATACAAAATCCTCTTTTTGGCATTAAGAGTTCTCCATAACCTTAACCTAGTCCCTCCTACCTTTCCAGTCTTCTTACACTTTACTTCCCAACACATACTCTTTAATCCAGTGACATTGGTTTCCTTTCTATTCCACAAACAAGGTATTCCATCTCTTGGCTCCAGGCACTTTTTTCTGGCTGTCTTCCAATGCCTACCATGCTCTCCCTCATCCTGGCTTCCTTCAAATCCTAACTAAAATCCCACTTTCTTTTTTTAATAGTATTTTATTTTTCCCCAGATACATGTCAAGAAAATTTTTAGCACTCATTTTTATAAGACTCTAAGTTTCAAATTTTTCTCTCTCCCCTCTCCTCTTCTGAAAATGGTAGGCAAGTTTGATGTAGTTTACACATGTGCTATCATGTAAAAATATTTCCATATTAGTCACAGCTATGAAAGAAGAAACAGATCAAAAGAAAAAAAACCCACAAGAATGTATAAAGTAAGTGAAAAAAATATGCTTTAATCTGCACTGAGTCCATCAGTTCTTTATCTGGATACAAATAGCATTTTCCTTCGAGGAGTCCTTTGTACTTGTCTTGGATAATTTTATTGCTGAGAAGTGAGGGTCATTCATAGTTGATCATCACACAATGCTGTTGATAAAATCCCACCTTTTTACAGGAACTTTCCTACCCCCCTTTTAATTCCAGTGCCTCCTCACTTAACTATTTCCCATTTATCCTGTATATGGCTGGTTTGCACATATTTGTTTGCTTGTTGTCTCTCCCTTTAGAATGTGAGCTCCTGGAGGGCAGGGACTGTCTTTTGCCTCCCTTTGTGTCCCTGGTGCTTAGCACAGTGCCTTGGCACATCATAGGCACTTAATAAATGCTTATTTGTTGACAAACTGAAATAACACCTAAACTATTCCTTTAAGAAAAATAGAAATTCTACTAGGCAAAGGTGAGGAAGGAGAACATTCCAGGCAAAGGGGACTGCCTATGCAAAAGCACAGAACTGTGAAACGGAATGTCTACGTTTCAAAGTATTGCACTCCATTAACCCTTTTATTTAGTCTAGTAATAAATGGATTTCATAAGTCATAAGAAGTGCTTTAATATCCCTTGGAAAAACAGCCATTCAATAATTCAGTAATAGTTGCTGTTATAGCAATATTCAATATTTAACTCAAAATTTTAACCTTTCTAAATTCGTTATCAAACTTGAAATAAGCATCTTTCCCAAGGCAACTATGAGCCTAATGTCGAGATTTAAATCCCAGTTCCCACCTTCCTAAAACCAACTCTTCAATATTTTCCATACAATAATATACTTTGACTCATAAGCTTGTTGTGCTGGGAGGCTTTCCTTAATGCTCTGAGCTCACTCCAACACTCTCTTTACTAGTGCTTGGGGGAAGCAATACCCATCAAAGAACAGTCTACCTATCATTACAGTTCATATTCTCAAGTCCTATGATTCCTAACTCGTTAAAAGATGGATCTATTAACCAAAAGAGCAAATAAATACTTTTCCTAGGGAACTGAAAAACTCTCTACCACCAAAGCAGTTTTTTTTTCCCTTCCAAAGGATAGTTATTATACTTGAAATATTTTAAACTCAAGTTTTATCAATAAAATGCTCCACAGTATTGTGATATTTCTTAACAAGGATTACAGACCTTGTCCATCAGTACAATCAGTACATATCCCATAAGTACATACATATGATATACATAGTATATATTTAATTCACTAAAATTCCTTCTACTACTAAATAAAACCATCAAAATCTAAAAGATACACATTCAACATTTATAGAACTATTACCATATCTCAGCTGTCCCTGGGAAGGTGGTGGGGCCTCCAATTTTTCTATGGGGGAAAAAGCATATGATGCAATTAGTTACTTTTTCATACATTTCTGATTTCAATGTTGTATGAAACATTTTCTTTTTAATAACAGGAATTTACAAAAGATGAAAAAATCTGAATTTACTTTTATGCTACATTTCACTTAACCAGCTACATATATTATTTAAAGACAATTATTATTACCAGAATGACAATGATAATTTCACAGGGCTAGTAAATAAGAATAATCCCAGATCTACCCTGTTCTATGACCTTTGGTTAATTATTGAGGTCACCTACAATATGAAGAAGCCGTGTTGATCAATTAGTGTCAGATACACCACAAACTATTCACAATTATATTAGATCTGAAGATATTAATGATTTATAAAATATATGTCTACATTAAAAGCTATCCTGCAATTTTTCATACATTTCTAAAAAAAGAACCTTTCATTTATGAAAAAAGAACACAGATCTTTGAGGTAACCTTAAAAACAGCCATGGAATATATTTAAAATAATTTATAACAGCAGTAACATTCCTAGATCTGTGCCCTATGCCTTGGTTTTTTTCTTTTATTTTTTTACCTTGATGAAACCAAAAGAATCGTTTATGGACAATAAGGAACAAAATAGCTTTGTTCAAAGAGCTGAAAAAGTTACAAGTGCTAATTAACATTTCTAGTAACAGCACAAATATGCTAGTTTACAAAAACATATTTGAAAATTATAAAAAAATTCCTTTTGATAAAAGCTGGAATGTTTAAAATATTATCATCAAATATAAAAACTACATGATTACTCTATACCAGCAAAGCAGCAACCTGTCTACTCTGAAAGAAGTAATGATCTCACCAGCTATAAGTTCAAAACAGTTATACAATGATAGATAAAAACCATATTATCCATCTACCAACAAGAAAAAGAATGATCTTAGAACAAACATGAAAGAACTGTGTTAAATTCATGATCTTCTTTTAAAGATTCAACTCTGTTTTAAAGTAGATCTATTACAATGTAATAAAAAACATCATAAACAGAAAAGATACTAGTTGGGCTAAGATCTTTCTAATATAGTCACTTAGTTTCAGATAAGGCCAGATTTTAAAGAATTCAAGTAAAAATTAAATAGGATAGATATTATATATTACATATTACAAGGCACAATAAAGAAGCAATATAACATTTATGGCTTCATACTTCGCTAAGAATAAGAATATCACTACGCATAAGAAGGTACAAAGAGATTCACCAATAGTCAACTTGCTACCAAATTAGTTGGAAACCAAACTAGAAATATAATTTTTAATGTTAGAAATACACTGGACATCACAGAATTTGGAATTAAACAAGATTTTATTCCCTACAAGTTCTCTTTTACCAGTACACCACAACCTACTTTCAAGACATGCAAATACTTCTTCTGATATGTTTTTCAAAATATAATTTACCCCTGTAGTCCATATAGCTTTCTGGTAAAATAAACATGCAAAATAAGGGGTTACATACCAGCACTATCTGTTAGTTGCATTACTCTCATCATCACCACAGTTCTGACACTGTGAGGAGAGGTCCTTGTCAGTTGACTGGAACTTCTTGGAATACCTAAAATTCAATAAGCACGACCTTCCCAGTGGAATAAGAATTATATGGCGCCCCTGGCTTCCATCTCTTCAAACTGCCTGAATATTGAACAAACACATTAATGTGTTCTACACTGTGTGAAAAGAAGGTGTAAGGGACAGGTTTATGAATAAATGTGTAGTAGTAAAGAGACGTCACTCCAATAATTATTTTTCTTCTTTCCCACTACACATAAAGATCTGAGAAACAAAGGCAATAGGAAAATCAAAGATGGGGTGGGGGTGGGGGAATAAATACTGCAAGGAAGATAAAGCAAAGGTGAAATGGCATACAGGTGAAACAAAGCCATGATTTAGAATAGATTCTGTCTCTTGTCTAAAGTACTTGCTGAGAAATAGTAAGCAAGCAGAATGATGAGTTCTAATTAAGTGGAAGAAATTTAGTTAGAATAAATTCAAAGATATTTCAAGGATTTGTGATTTCATCAGTGTGGGTCCTACCTCCAATTGCAAAACTGCTACAACTTAGTAGAGCGTCTTTGAGACCAAAGAATTCAACACCCTGCAGTCAATCTGGTGCAAAGCCTTTACAAACTGTGTGGACCTGTCACTGACATGTTCCAGAAGTCTTTTTGTTTGATACAGTCCACAGAGTTAGTGGTCTATAGGCACAGCCTTCAAGAACTAAGCTTATCTACAGGCCCAACAAGGCATTTAAAGTAAGCTATTAGAGTTGAATCCATAAGTATAACTTTTTAAAAATAACAATTTACATTGTTAAGTTTTGAAGATTTGAATACTATACATAAACTATCCTGTGTATGCTGAATGTTTTGTTTGTTTTAACAAATAAGAGAAAAAAAAACCTTCAGAATATTTTACTTAATTCCTAGTTGATAACCAACCCTAACTGATTTTATCTTCCATTTCAAAAACTGGAAAACATACAACCCACAACAGAAATAAGTGTTACTTAGAGATTAAACAAGTACTAGAATTCTATACTATGGCCTAAAGACAGACCAGTCACAGATGTAATCTATGCTGAAATGGATCCAAGAAAAACTAAAGTGATTTTTGTACACAGGAGTAAAGAAGATAATAAACAAATACTAACTTTAGAGGGGCTCAGTTCTAAAATATATTATACACTGAGAGTTTTAGGATCTAGTACTTCTTTATTTTTCCTGTCTTTGATCTTTTTATACTACTAACACTATACTTAAACAATTTCTCCTTGGTACTTCTACTATAAAGGGGGTGTGGGGCAATAAGGAACTAAGTTATATGTGAATAGGGATCCTAGTCCACCTCTCTCTGGAAGAACATTCATTAACTCTCATCTCTGTTTTCTAAAGAGCAGATTTATCTATAGTAATCAGTGGCAGAACTTCAACAAAAAGAGAAGTGGGGGGGGGAGAGGGAGAGAGAGAGAGAGAAATGGGGAATATGATATGTAAGTGACTAAAAGGTAATGACTTCTTTTCTTTCAAGTTTCTTCAAGAGCCTTTACTCTCAGGAAAAAAGACTCAAGCAATTGCATGATAATATTATTTAAGTCTTCCTATTCAATTCAATTTACAAAGCACTGGTAGAGTGCCTACTATAGGGGAGGTATGGTGCTACACACTAAAGATAAAAAGATGAAAACAAAACAGCCCCAGCCCTCAAGAAGCTTACATTCACCTGCAGGAGAGGTAAGGTTAGGGGAGGGGCAGGAGAAGGAGGACACAGGAAAGAAATGAAGCATACTGAGGCAGGGAGGAAGGGGAAAAGTCCAAAGAAGGTGAGAGAAAGACAAAGATAAGGTGAGAAGCTGCCAGGCCAGGTTAGCGGAACAAATATTTATGATCGATTCTCTATCCCAACTTCCTTCAAAGGCATGTCGCTTCAATTTAAGCTCCCGCATGCCCTAGAGAAACAAAGTATTTTCTGCTTTAATAAGCCTTTTTGCTGGCAGCTCAGTAGCTGTTTCAAAGCAGAAAAGTAACTGTGTTAGAAGAAAGAAGAGGAAGGGGAAGAGGGGGAGAAAAGACTTAATGAAAAACATATTTCTTAATTTTCTTCTCCAAATAAGGAGGTGCAGAGAAAAATATGCAGGTAATTCAGTAACAGTGTCACACTAGAACTATATTATATTCAAAATGAAACTTTTGGGGGCCAGATTTGTGGTTTCATTAGTGTAGAGAACACCAAGTGTGGAAACTCCCTCTATTGATGCAGATGGTGTGAAATTAACATTAGAAATCAGAGAACAGATAATCTATTTAAAAGACACACTTCATTAAATAATGCTTTGTATTCAATACAGAGGATTAGTGAGGTATAGAGAAAGAACACTAGATTTGGAATCACAGAATCTTGGCTCTGCTGTTTACTACCAACTGTGTGACTTTGGCCAAATCACTTGGGCTTCAGTTTTATTAGCTGTAAAATAAAGGCTTTGGACTAAATGAACTCTAAATTCCTCTTCAACCTTTGGGACTGAAGGGAACTTCAGGGGTCAGCTGGCCGGAAGTCTCTTCCTATTCTGCAATGTCTTCAGCAACATCCCTGACATATATTCAGACAACCTGTGCTTAGGCCACTAGATGGAACCCTGACTGGAGTGCTGGACTTGGAATCAGGAAAATCCAAATTAAAATCTTACCTCACTTAATGTGTGATCCTGGGCAAATCACTAACCTCTTTCAGCCTTAGTTTCCTCTTCTACAAAATTGTAATAATAATAGCACCTACCTCCCAAGGTTGTTATGTGGAGAAAATGGGATTTAAAACACTTTGCAAACCTTAAAGAGCTATATAAATACTAGCTAGTAGTAGTAGTAATAGTAGTAGTAGTAGTAGTAGTAGTAGTAGTAGTAACCAAGAATACGGAAATTTGATTGCTAGTTCTACAATTTCATCAGCTAAGAGGCTTCCTTAAGAGTGACTTTACTTGTCAGAGTCTCAATCACCTTCTCTCTAAAACAGGACTATTACTATTACTTACCATCTCACCAGGCTATTGATAGCCAAAGTACTTCGTAACTGGATAGCAACATGTAAAATACAAGCAATTAATCCAACAATGGGAAGTTCATTCCTTTGTGAAGCAGAGATTGCCAGACAGCCAGATAGGTAAACTCTTTTTATCAAATCAAAACCTGTCTTTTTAACTTCTCCCCATTTGTCCTAGCTTTACCCTTTGGAGATACATAAAATAATTTAATTACCTTTTCTATATTTGAACTCTTTAAATATGAGCATATATTAGCTTTTTAAAGAAAGAGTGGAAAGAGCAAAGGACTTGGAGACAAAAGACTTAGGTTCTACCACTCACTAGCTAAGTAACCTCAAGTCACTAAGCCTCTCTGAAGTTTACCCTGGGCTTCTAAAACTTCCCCATCCTGATCCTCCAACCCACTTAATAGTTCCTTTACAGTCATCTTCCTTCCACGCAAGACTGAGTATGCCTCATCTAATTTTGTTCTTTTCAGTTCAATCACTTCTATACATTTCTATATCACTTCTAAATCAATAGTTTAAAGTAGCAATGTAGCTACATTTGAAAAGTAGTTATGAAGCAAATAGAACCATACAAGGAAGAAAAAAGATGTCTTTTAAATCTATGTATCCACTTTCATTCTCCCTCCGCACTTCAGTCCTACATTTCCATCTGCCTACTAGATATTTCCACTTGTGTACTCCTATAGCAACTCTGCATTCTGCATTCATCTTCTTTTCTAAACCTGCCCCTCTTACAATGGCCCTAAGGTCACTTTGGCATCATTACTGACTTTTCCTTCACTCTCACCCCCATATCCTACTGATGCTAAATCCTACTAATTCTCCAGAATCACTATATATCCATTCCCTTCTCTCTACTCATGCTGCCACCACCCCATTCTGGCCTTCATTATTACTGTTTCGACTACTACACCAGCTTCCTATTTCCTGTCTTCAACCTCTCCCCATATCGAGATCATTTTTCACATCCTAGCCAAAATAATCTTCCTAAAAGACAGTCTAGTCTGTTCAAAAGCCTTTGTCAGCACAACAGGAAATGGCTCTAATAGGCAAACTCTTTATCCTGGCATTTAAAGACTTCAACAATCAACAGAATGAGGGGATTGGACTAGATGTGCCAACCTAACTTTCCAACTTTGCTTCACATTATTCTTCTTTTTGTATTTCATAGTCTTTCCAGATTGAAGTAGGTGGTGTTTCCAAAACTCACATCATCCACTTCATACATTCCATCATGGCCCCCATGCCAAAAAAGTACTCCTTCCTCATTTTTGCCTTTCAGATTATCTCTTAAAGGCTCAATTTATCTTAAAGGCTCAGCTAGTCTTAAAGGCTCAGCTTAAAAGGGATTGTCTTGAATAGGAAATCTATCCTGATCCCACAGGTGAATATGTTCTCCTCCTTAAATTTCAAACATTTTGTCAAGATCTCTTCCTTTGCCTCCATCATATACTATATGGTATCATGCTTATTTCATATACCAAACAATCTCCTTCCAATACCCCAAAGTAGGATGTAAGCAAACTGAGGGCAGCAAACAAATTTTATTTTTACATCCCCAGGACCTTGTGTGTTATCTTGTGGATAGCAGGTACTTCATAAAAGATTAGTTGAACTGAATTTCCTCATCTGGAGAGAAAAAAATCAATGAGAAGTTTGAGAAACAAAATAAACATAGCAGAGAAGCAAGAAGTGGCAGTGCTAGGGAACTTCAATTATCTGGAGAATGTTTTTCTCTCTACCTAGGCAGCAAGGTGGCACAGTAGAGTGCTAGGACTCAAGTCCAGAAGAACTGAGTTAAAATCTGGCCTGAGACACTTACCAGCTATGTGACCCTGAGCAAGTCACTTAAACTCTGTCTGCATCAGTTTCCTCATCTGTAAAATGAAGATAATAAAGAGAAACTACCTCCCCAGGTTCTTGTGAGGATCAAATGAGATATTTGTAAAGTGAGTAGACAGTACCTGGCACATGGTAAATGCTTTAAAATGCTTGTTCACCTTCCTTTTCCCT